CTGGATTTATTCACACCCTGTGAATAAGAATTTGTTTTTCCGGATTATAAGAATTTGTTTTTCGATTTGTGATTTTTATATGGAAAATGTTACAAAACTTTATAGATTGTACCTGATTTATATATTTGACAAGCTGCTTTTCCAATAGCTTCCATAAACTTAGAAATGTATCAGAAACTTTGGGTAGAATAGAAAGATTTAGAAGTGGAAAATGGAAAAGGGACAGACATAGGAAGCATAGGTGTATAATGAAGGTATCCAGAGTGACTGGATGCCCAGCCCCCGTTGTAAGACAGATGTTCTGAAAGGCCCGTAGAGTTCTGCTTCCAAGTCTCTGGAAATTTCTCCAGACTCCAGCCTCCACTCAGCACTCCTATTCTCTTCTTGTGTTTGTGTCTTTACTTCCAATTGTATTTATTGCCTAAGTGGATGTATATGTATATGCATGTACATATAGCTGCATGTATGTGTATATGTGTATATGTTTACATGTCTGTAATATTTGTGTGCATGTATGTTTATGAATATGCATATGTGTGTATATGTCCATGCATGTATATGTGTATTTATGTCTGCATATGTGTGTGGTGTGTATATATGTGTGTTGGGTATGTATATATGTGTATGTGTGTATATGTTGATCCTGGATTTGCTTCTGACAGATATAAAACAATAGAATGACACTAATTTTTTTTTAATCTATAAACTGCCTATGCTGTTATGAGAGTCCTGAGGAGTGAATAAAACATTTTTCTTTAATCGGTGGGCTTTCATGTGGAAAGATAATTCTTTGACATAGGTCGTTAGGCAAATTTAGCTGCCACTTTCTGACCTCTACTAAGAAAATAAAATGATAGGGAAATATTTAAAAAATTTTTAAAGGTCATTAACTCTAAGAAAGAAAGAGCATTTTACTATTGATTTGTAATGATGTTGAGTACTCTTTCGTGAATAAATTATAGAAGGGTCCTAGCCCCAACTGCCTCTCTGCTAGAGAGCATGGTATTCAGTATTCAGTCAGGTCTTTATTTCTTTCACTCAATCCCAGACTCAGGTCAGAAAAAAGGAATGTTGTTAACAGTAGCTTAGTACAGTGCCTACCACATAATTAACTCTGTATAAATATTAACTTTTACTCTCCTCACAGGCCAAGGGGATATTTCACATAAGTATATTTCCCAAACTGCTTGCCATATGTACTTACACTGTGTCTCCTCCCATGGTTGGAATATACTGGGGGTTGGGGGAGATTTTGAAAAGACGACATCATCTCTCATTAGATGCTCCCTGTGTGTATGTCCCTGGCTGTGACCCCAGCCATCCCCAGGAGGTTCAAAGTCTGTGTCTACTGTGAGACACCTCATCTACCTCTGCCTCCAGGGATTTGCTTCAGCCACCTCCCGTCATTCCTCCCCTGATGGAGGGCCCAGCTGTGGTCATTTCAGTGGCTTGACTTAGGAGACAGAATCAAAAGAGCAGAGAACACTACACTGACCCTTCCTACACCACTTTCACCTCAACATGTTCTGATCCACAACGGGACTACACTACATTCAGCTGTCTGGATTCTGCTTAAGGCAGACAGAGGAAGTCCAGGAATCAACTAGGATGGGGACACTCTTCTTCCTTCTCCTAGCTGTGGCCTCAGCCACGCCAAGGTCAGGACCACCACATTCACTCCCAGGCCAGCCAATGCTGCCATATTGGCCACCATCTCTGGTTTCCTTCCTGATGTGACTATTAGCAGACCTTTAGCCCACTGTCACATATGCAGAATGAGAGAGGAAAGTAATGTTTGGTTATTAGAGGTTCCCAAACATCCCCATACATCAGAATCACCTGGAGTGCTTCTTTAAACAATTTCCTGGCCCTACCCTGGCCCCAGAGCTCGCTTCCAGGACTGTGACTCCACACTCAGAGGCAGGTCACATTTGGTTTACTGATTTGCAGTCGCCATCTTGAAATGCTTAATGCTTTTTAAGCATGGGGCCTCACATGTTCATTTTGCACTGGGCTCCACAAATGTTGTAGCCAGTCCTGTCAGTAGGTCCAGAATGGAGCTGGAGAATTGACATTCCCAACAAATTCCCGGGTGAGACAGATGCTTCCACCCCGGGATGCACACTTCACAATCACTCATAGAGATCTTGCAGACCTAAAGAATAGAGGAAAGGGACAAGGGACAGTGGCCCTCTGCCTCCTTCTCTCTCTCACCTCTACTTAATCAGATGCAGTCAGAGATATTAAAACAACCAAAGGAACAAATGATGTGGCAACTTTAGTTAATGTTGTTATTATTATTGTCTTTGTTTGACTTTGTGTTGTTTTCACCAACTAAATGCTTTCATGAGGCATACTGCCTTTTCAGCACCTCCCCAACAATTAACGTAGGTATGATTTCCCCTGCCTGTACATCAGTCCAAAAAATTTTTGAAATAGCTTGAAAAATATGTAAAGTGAAACAACATAAGTAATTAATTAGAGATATTATAAGTAATTTGAAATGTTAGGGAAAGGAAAAAGATACAAAGAGCGATAAGATGAAGTTGGGATGCAAAACTCACAAAGGTACCTCCAAGCTTCAAAACACCAACTCAACTTGGCCTTAATTCTCTGAGCCTTTAGCCATCATTGGAGACAGAAATCCATTATTTATTCCATGATTCATGGCTCCTTAGGGTAAAAATAACCTACTCGTTCAGTAGCCCAGATGTCCCTAGTACCAAAACTTAAGGGATATTTCTTCCATCAAGTATCTTTATGCACATAACTCCTGGCTAAATCTTCAACTTATAACACTTTGTTGAATGTATTCTGTTCTGCATAGGTTGTAACATGGATGAGCAAGACATAAGAGAATTATTGGGCTCTCTGTGAGCTAAAATATGAACTTTCCAAAACTTTCCTCCCAATATGAGTGGGGCAAAACATAAAACGAAACATTGGTAGCACTGATTTTGTTTTGGTTTAGCTAATGAACTGACTCTCTAAGTATCCCGTACAATAAGGCTTTATGTACTCACTATTATTGATAGAAAAATATGACATATATTTTTACTGAGTGGACATAAGACATTTTTATTAATGACTGGAAAAATGTTCACTAAACAGGGAAAACAAATAAAATCATCCCAGTAATAAAATTTCTAGCCCTAATCAGAACAAAGAACACTGATTCTGAGCTCATAGCCACATTAGCTTCTAGTTCAACACATGCGATTTTTCTCATTTTCATAATAAACTTTCTTAAACCAGTGACAGCCCACGATAACAGACAAGTGTCTATTCATTTTCTTTCTGTGTTTTCTCAGCTAGAATGAGGAAGACTTTTTCCCCTTTAATTAGATTGGGTGGTTAAAAAACCGCCCTCTCGCCGGGCGCGGTGGCTCAAGCCTGTAATCCCAGCACTTTGGGAGGCCGAGGCGGGTGGATCACGAGGTCAAGAGATCGAGACCATCCGGGTCAACATGGTGAAACCCCGTCTCTACTAAAAATACAAGAAATCAGCTGGGCATGGTGACGTGTGCCTGTAATCCCAGCTACTCAGGAGGCTGAGGCAGGAGAATTGCCTGAACCCAGGAGGCGGAGGTTGCGGTGAGCCGAGATCGCGCCATTGCACTCCAGCCTGGGTAACAAGAGCGAAACTCTGTCTCAAAAAAAAAAAAAAAAAAAAACCGCCCTCTCACTACTTTCCTGCAGAAATTGGTGGCCTAAAGATCTGGAAAATCATCCTCATGGCAGTTCTCTGGCTTCTTCCCATAAAATTATGTGATATGAGTTCAAATAGGAAGCAAGGAAGGGGCTTCTTTAATCCATGTTGGTAGTAAATATCCTCAGCAAGAGTGCTCAAGACCCTGGCTGCCTCAGTTATGACTGGCGGTATCACAGATGCTGGGATGTTTTTTCCCCTGAATACTAACCCCTGCTGGGAACCTCAGACGAAGCTAGACCCCTGTGAATGCATTCCTCCAGTTTGCATGCACAAAACCATTTGGTTAGGGAAGTATTGCTCAGGCATGTGTTTACCTTCTTTAAGATTATGAAGGATTTGTTTTTGAAAAATTAAGCCAAACGAGAGCAAAGACTAGTAAAGAGAAGTGAAGTAAGGGGGAGGAGATACAGGTTCTGGAACTTTTAATCAATCTGTCATTGTTTCCCTTCAAGATGTTGTCAGGGCCACTGTTCTGAGGAGGGTAGAAAATAAAGATGTTTCCAGGTAAGACTTCCCATGCTCTTTTCATTTCCTCAAGTTCTCATTTTTCCTGTTCCACATACATTTTCACTGTTTTTTCTGTTTCTGTGACAACTCATGAACACAGGACTATGATAATGGTATGCTAGTGAGTACATCATATCAGCTTGTAAAAGCACTAGTACCTTGCAGAATCATTTTAGATATATTTGAATAAAATGGAGTCTAGTGACTCCACTTTCATACATTTGTTTTTGTCGCCACGTTATACGTGAAATGCTTATTCCCACCGGTGACATCATCATCTTCATCACATGAAGGATAGATTTACTTACACTAAGTATTTTGGGGGAAAAGAAAAGTCCCTAAAGCCGCAATGAACTTCAAGCAAAGTGTCAACCATAGTTTTATAGGAAGGTGAGTTATCTACTAGTGTATCCTTACCTAATAGATAGTGAGCATCAGACTTTCACTTAAAAATGGAAGCAGGAATGAGTCCCTGAGGCACTTAGCGATCCACATTGGCAAATGCAGGGCTCCTTTGTTTCATTCCCACGCTGCCTTCACCCATTGGCTTTTCCCGTTACTTCTGTTGGGTTTTACTGCCCTCTGCTGGCCATATCGTTGAAACACTTTCACCTCATGGATGTAGACGTCTTGGAACATTGCTCCAACTGGTCTTTTTTTTTTTTTTTCAGCTCCTGTGTCCATGCATCCTCCTCCGTCATTTGTGTAACGGCCGTATTGTTTGATTCTGGTCACTACTTGTTAACATACTGACACATTTGTAATTGTCTCGTTGTGCCAGAAGCCCTGACATGCTGCAGTCGGAAGTTTCCTTTTCCGTGGGAGGGAGGCATTCATCTACAGACTCCAACAAGGCCTCCAGCGGCGACATCTCCCCTTATGACAACAACTCCCCAGTGCTGTCTGAACGCTCCCTGCTGGCTATGCAGGAGGACGTGGCCCCGGGGGGCTCGGAGAAGCTTTACAAAGTGCCAAGGCAGTTTATGCTGATGGGCCACTTGTCCTCATCAAAGTCAAGGGAAAGTTCTCCTGGACCAAGGCTTGGGAAAGGTAACTGGAGCCTGGTCAGCCGGCACTGGCCAAAACAAGTGACCCTCCTCTTGTTGCATGTGGCATGGTGTGGGGCTCTTCGGACCTTCTCTTCATCTCTCCCTTATTTGATGTTTCTGTAATGCAACCACCATTTATCGAGTACCTGCTGAATGCCTACTCTAGGAAGAGGAAGGTGTGGCGAGCCCAGTTGTTGGCTGGGTGGGTCTCCACAGGCCACGCTCCAATTCTCAGATAGCTGGGAAATAAGCGCATACCCAGAGGAGCCACTCCTATTCCCAGCTGACTCTTTTTCCCTCCAGCATCCTAGGAACTTTATGTGTACTGGGCTTGCGTTGCATATTTGCTAGTCTAATGCCACCCAATTACTGCTGTTGCTTTTCTAAAGAAAACAAGCTGAACCTACTATGTATCAAGACAACCTTCCAGAACCAAATAGTGTTAGTATCCAGTGACAAGAGCACTAGACTGGGAGTCACATATCTGTTCTGCCACTTTCAACCTGCAGGATCTCCAGTGAGCGATTGAGCTTCCCAGAGTCCCATTTCCTCCTGCCGTGAAAACTCAGAATGATAACAGTATTTAATCCATTGAGTTTAATGAACTAATCCATGTAAAGCCCTCAACGCAGCACTTCGAATGTCATACGCACTCGATAATACTTGCTGTGTAATCTTGTGTGCATTTCTTACCTGCTCCTTATGCTAGTTGCCTCGTCTGTAAAATGATCTCCTGGGAACCTCCTAGGAATGAAGTGAGATAACGCATGTGAACTGCTGAACACGTGGAGGCACCCAGTAGACGTCTGCTGCTATAAATCGTAATTATGATCCCATCACGGGATTGTAGTGAGGATTAAATGAGATGGTGAAAAAGTCTAATGTAGTGCCTTGCTCCGTAAATATTGATGGATAAGCTAAGGGGATTTATGAATGAATGCATGCATGAAGAAATGTGATGATACCAATAGCAAAGTATTCCTGAGGGTAGTACAGAAACTATGCTGTTCCTCTAGCTCTGTGTTAATGTGGTTAAGGCCTATAAAGCTGTTGCCACCCATCAGCCTTCTATTCATTTCCTGTAACACGCAAACTTATTATTTTATGGTTCTGGAGGTGAGAAGTCTAAAATGGGTCCACAAGGCCTCTTTCCCTTCTGGACATTCTAGGGCATAATTGTTTCCTTGCCTTTTCCAGCTTCTAGTAGCTGCCGCATTCCTTGGCTCAAGGCCCCTTCCTCCATCTTTTAAGCCAACAATCTAGCAGCATCTTCTCTCCTGCCCCCTCTTATAAGGACCCTTGCAATTATATTGGCCCCATCCAGATAATCCAGGAAAATCTCCCCATCTCAAGAACCATAATTTAATCACATCTGCAAAGTCCTTTTTGAAAATAACATCTTTGTAGATTTGTGAGATTATGACAGACATCTTTGCGGGGGGGCTTATTCTGTCTACCACAAGCATGATATACAAAGAGCTTTTTTTGTAAATGCCAAGTAGAATGAACATGCTGAAAGTTAGATCTGAACTGTATTCTGTTTTGTATGCAACATGACTTCGAATGCAATACTTTGCACAGAAGAGATGTTATTGAAATGTTCATCGATTTTTAATTTTGCTTTTGTGTTATATACCTTTTTATACACTTTTTTCCTAGATCTGTCAGAGGAACCTTTCAATATCTGGGGAACCTGGCATTCAACATTAAAAAGTGGATCCAAAGACCCAGGAATGACAGGTAAAGTATTAATTTTAAGCTTTATTGCATTTACTTTTAAAATTATTTTGCAAAGTTTTCTTTACTATCATTTTATTATATGCCTGTCAAATATTATTTGGGAAATGCTGAAAATAAGAGGGGATGAAACTAACCTTAGGCTTTCCACCCAAATATGACAATCTTTGACTATATTTTATTCTATTTCCTTTGCAAGGGTTTTCATAGTTACAATCATTCTGTCTGTGCAACTTTGTATTAATTTCTAACTTCCACTTTCCAGTAATTTGCCATTTTCCTTTTTTTTTTTTTTTTTTTTTTTGAGACAGAGTGTCACTCTGCTGCCCAGGCTGGAGTGCTGGAGTGCGGTGGCACAATCTCGGCTCACTGCAACCTCCACTTCCCACTTTCAAGCGATTCTCCTGCCTCAGCCTCCCAAGTAGCTGGGACTACAGGCACCCACCACAACTCCCTGCTAATTTTTTTGTTTTTAATAGAGATGGGGTTTCACCATAATGGCCAGGCTGGTCTCGAACTCCTGACCTCGTGATCCGCCCACTCCTGACCTCGTGATCTGCCCACACCTCGGCCTCCCAAAGTGCTGGGATTACAGGCCTGAGCCACCGTGCCCGGCCTCTCCATTATTCTTTTTAAAGGCAAGGAATATTCCACGGAGTGCATATTCATAGTTTACAACCCAATACTAAGTCATTTGAAATTTTTTATCATTGTAATAAGTTCCACTGTTAGGAGCCTCTTTTGTGTAATTATTTTTTCAAATTATTAATAGATTCACAAAATGTTAGAAAGCAAGTCAAAGGTTATAAATCCCAAACAGGGAAGCAGGTTAAATATAACAAGCCTTTCCAAGAATCTGGAGATACAGTCTCCTTCTGTTCTGTGTAGGATCCAGTAGCTTGCATTCTGTAAACTGTGGATGGCAGGACATTTTCCACTGCTGTCTGCAAATCTCATCATATTACAAATTAGTGGGTTTTCACTTTTGCTGTGGGTTTTCATTTTTGCTAACCGAAAAAACAAAATTGCATTTATTAATTTGCATTTCTCACCAGTATTTTTCAGTATTTCTATTAATTCACTGAATTTTCCCCCATTGAATTGTTACTTATTTTATTTCCTATTTATGTATGCTAGAATTTTTGTAATTGATTCTTGCGAACCCTTTATATAATAAAGATGTTAACTCATTTTCCATATTGTTTACCACTTGAATTTTCTTTTTTACATAATTTTATCACTGTCTCTTTTCTGTGAATTCTTTTATCATCTTTAGTTCAGCATTGGATACTCAGTGATCTCTATGCATTTCTTTTTAATGTTATTTCATTGTTTCAACCCTTAATTTTTTTAATCCATTTGGAATATGTCTCATGTATGGTATAGAGTGTGTAAATTATTTGTTTGGTTGGTTTATACTTGTATTCTCCTTCTCATTGTTTTGCAATATCTCCCATATTACATTTTAAAAGCACAGTGCATTTTTATTTATTATTATTATTATTATTATTTTGAGGTGGAGTGTCGCTCTGTTGCCAGGCTGGAGTGCAGTGACACAATCTCGGCTCACTGCAATCTCCACCTCCCAGGTTCAAGCGATTCTCCTGCCTCAGCCTCCCGAGTAGCTGAGACTACAGACGCACAACACCACGCCGAGCTAATGTTTGTATTTTTAGTAGAGACGGGGTTTCACCATGTTGGCCAGGATGGTCTCAATCTCTTGACCTCATGATCCACCAACCTCAGCCTCCCAAAGTGCTGTGATTACAGGCATGAGCCACTGTGCCCAGACGCACAGTACATTTTTAAATTTGATGGCCTCTAGTACTGATTCCTTTTCTAACTATATCTCATTGTATCCTGTGAAGAGACTTACCCCCTTTTCCTTCTCCAGTTTCAGCTGTCACCTGTTGTTTCAGCTTTCGTTTGTTTCTTTGTGAATACTCAGATCCCCCACTCCCCTGCCCCCAACATGGCCTTGTTCTTGTTCCTTGTCTGCTTTTTAAGAAGTGGGAGATGGAGCAGATTCATAGGAAAATGGTAGTCTGGGAACACATGCCCCGAGGACTCCTCCTTTGCCTTCGAAATGGACTGTTAATTCTTTCCCTCAGTTTCCTAAAGAAAGTTGTATCCTTTAGAGAAAGCTAACTGCTGTAACGACTCCAAAGTGTGAGTGGCTTAAGCTATTACAACTGGATTTCTCTCTCACTGTCCCAGTACAGTGTAGATTGCAAGGGGGTGAGGAGGGGTGGGAGTGGGTAAGGGAGGGAGTGCTGTCTTCCACAGTCACTCATGGGCCCAGCCTAGGCTCTACTATCTTCAGAGCCCCGACGAGTCCTCCAAGAGTTCACGCTAGGCTGGTAGTTAAGGGAGGCGGGAGAACAAAGAACAGTGGGAAGGCATTTGTTTAGTTTTCTTTATTATTAGTTCAGGCCTAGAAATTGCTCATGCCACATCTGTCCATATTTGTTGCCTAGACCTCATTTCTGTGGCCCACCTCGCTGCCGGAGAGGCTGGGAAATGCCATGTAGGAAGTAAAGAGGAATGCCTGGGTGATCACCAAGTGTGTCTTTTCCACGCTGACAATGGGAGAATATGCACAGTGGCTGGCCTGCCTTCTGGCACAGAATGGGGTACTTGAGATTCAAGTCACTTCATTGATGTGATAGAAACGTGAAAACATCATTTGTATCTCTCCTGGATTACAGAATGCATTGAAAAGAAGGGAATGCTTCTTTTACCTTCTGGATTCTGAGAAGTTTTCCCAGCCATGTAGAGGGGCCCTTTCCTGAAACACAAATTGGTGGCAAAACCAATTATTAATCTAGTTTGACATCTCACCTAACCTGTAGAGGTCTGGGAATACGAATTGAGCATTTGTTTTGCTGGGAAAGTCCTTTTCTTTAGGCAGCAGCAGCTAAGAGCATACGGTGCAGTTTCAGTTTTAGAAGTCCACTGGGACTTCTTAGAAGTGAGAACGAAATAACAGGATTTGAATCCCCAAGAAGGATTCTACAAACTCATTCCACTTCTTGGCTTTCTCTCTGGCTTCTAGGTTCCTCTGGAGACATTTTTGAAAGCAGCTCCCTAAGAGCGGGGCCCTTCTCCCTTTCTCAAGGGAACCTGTCCCCGAATTGGCCTCGGTGGCAGGGGAGCCCCGCAGAGCTGGACAGCGGCACGAAGGTGGCTCAGAGGACTCAGCCCGCGGCCCCCGCGATGGAGGGCAGGGCCCACACTGCGGTGCCGCGTGCTTACAGTACACCCCATGTCCAGGGTGGCAGTGGGAAAGCCGAGCGGCCCATGGCCAGATCTGAGCAGTACTTGATCCTGAGCGGCGCCCACGACCTCAGCGAGAGCGAGCTGGACTTGGCCGGGCTGCAGAGCCAGGCCACATCGAGGTGCCAGAGACCCCGTGGGAGCACGAGGGATGACAAACGGCCCCCGCCTCCGTACCCGGGCCCCGGGAAGCCCGCAGCAGCAGTGGCGGCCTGGATCCAGGGGCCCCGGGAAGGCGCAGGGACAGCCACGGACCAGGGAGGCCAAGAGGCCGAGCAAGAGCAGCAGGCCGCACAGAAAAAACTGAGCAGTGCCACCTCCCTGCCAGCGGGCAACCAGGACAGTCCGCGCCTGGGGGACGCTGGCTGGCTCGACTGGCAGAGAGAGCGCTGGCAGATCTGGGAGCTCCTGTCTGCTGACAACCCCGATGCCCTACCTGAGACGCTGGTCTGAGCCCACACCCAGCCGAGCCCCTCCTGCCCCGCGCCCTCCCCGCCCCGCCCTCCAGCCCAGGGGAAAACGTGGGTGGTGGCCACTGGCACACTTAGTGTTCTTCTTTCATACTTCCCAAAAGCAACACGAGAAATCCGGTTCACCTATAGAGGTAGAGCACTCACGCCCCTGCCATTGAGAATAAGGTTCCATTGCATAGCCAGCCTTAGGAAAAACAACCCAAACCGAATGGCAATGTCCAATATAAAAAAGTCCCTCTTGGCTCTATAATAAGATACAACTCTTGCTTTCATATAGCCTAACTGTATTTATATGTCTTCAGTTTTGACTATTGTATATTCTGTAACAGATTATGTATGATAATCATATATGATATATTCACAAAGAGAAAACAAAATGAACATTTAAAAAAATCACTTATTTTAAGCAATGAAATATACTAAACAATGAGATTCTATAGAATGTTCTAGAATATGCACAAGCGGGTTTCTGTGCTTTTGCCATAGCTTTATAACTGGGGATAACCCTTCCTTCAATACCTAACAAAAACACTAACAAGATGAAACAGAAGATGAGAAGCCATATTTTTATATGAGTCAGATACAAGAAGAAAAATCACTGAATGCTTTTTGATATTGAATACGTATTATGGAAAATGTTAAATCTGATAGATTATGAAATATATTTTTAGAACTTGTTTAGAAATGACTCAGCCAGACAAGAAAAAGGCAGTGCCTCACAAAGAAATTAAGAAGTTGTCTGTCCCACTTTACGTCAAATTCAGTTTTATATAGGCCGTATATAATAAATATTTATAATGTATAATTTTTATGTATTTTTCAAAACTGCAAACTGGAATCCAACTATAAAGTGTTTAAGAATCTAAATACAATATTCAAATTATAGAACATGTTTTTCCCTTTGCCCAGAATCAGTATTTGCCAAATTACACACAATTCTTTAAAAACTAAATCACATTTGGAAAAAAGCCTACAGCTTTGTGCTTACATTGTGCCAAAGGCTGGGGAAATGTTTTCTTTCTTAATTTTATGTGTATTGTAAAATGTTCCTACCGTACTTTAGTAGTAAGTTTTAAGTTTTTCAATTGCATAACTGTTTTTGACCAGCAGATGGCGATTCGCTTCAGTATTTTACGCGATTTTTTTCACTTCTGAAGGGAAAGTGTATTATAGAAAAAGATTTTTTTTTTTTTTTACATATAAAACATGCTACTCTTAATTGTCATGTTGGTGATAAAATTTTCAGTGGTGTTTCTTAAGGTTCTATCTTGTGCCATGATGAATAAAAGGTTAAGCAAAGGCTTTGCTCCCTGACTTTAAATCTCTTGAATGAATTTGCACCGCATTTCAGACATATACTTCGTTATCCACAAGTCCAAGCATAATAAATCATGGCAATTCTATGCATATACATATATAGCAAAAAATATGGTTTAAAAATATCAGCTGGCTTTGGGACATCAACTCAGTGACACCAAAGCATTTAGAAATTTATAACAATTTGTGGCAAGTAAAGGCTGATTTCCTCGACTGTTGAAGAGGTGGTTTTCTACAGGACTGAAACTCAGGTTTTCTGAGTTTCCTGAACTGTGTCCAGCAGGTGTTGCCTCACACAATTCCTCTAAGTTATATCTGCTCTATGGGCCTTAGATGCCTAATCTGATTCAGGGCCAAAATAATAAAATCTACAAGTGGCATATGATATTTCTTATTTGGGGAATGGTTGATATAGCTTTAGCCTCTGCCATCAGGTCCAGTACTTCCACCTCTGGCTGGGAGTCAGGGAGGATTTGCCTGCAGACCTCTGGTTCTTCCTGACTGCCCACACGCAGCCAAAAGTTGTCAACAAGATCCAGAGGAAATGCTGCTTGGTTATGGATCACAGGCAGCTTTTCTGTGCCACCTACTCTCATCCTACTCCTCATAACACTATTTCCTTGGCTTTGAATTTGATCATGATCTGACTAGTTCTTTCCCTCCTTCCTGGACTGGATGGCCTGATAAATGGGACTCTTTTTCTACCACATTCTTGCTAGAGTGGTCCTATTTTTTAAAACATCCATATCAAATGACCCTGAAATCATTTGATGCCTATGTCAGAAAAGGTAATGAAAATTATGTCCATCTGTTCATAGATCTAAAATAAGCAGTCCTGAAAACAGGACTCAGAATATCCTTTACATATATCTTAATATTCACTCTCCCTCTCTTTGTATGTTTAAGCCTAGGGGCCGTATCATTAGCTTAATGAGTGACAGCTAGTTTCTTTCTTTCTTTTCTTGAGACAGAGTCTTGCTCTGTCACCAAGGCTGGAGTGCAGTGCTATGATCTCTGCTCACTGCAACTTCTGCCTCCCAGGCCCAAGCGATTCTCCTGCCTGGGCCTCCCAAGTAGCTGGAATTACAGGCACACGCCACAGTCCCCAGCTAATTTTTGTATTTTTAGTAGAGATGGGGTTTCCCCATGTTGGCCAGGCTGGTCTTGAACTGCTGACCTCAGGTGATCCACCCGCCTCAGCTTCCCAAAGTGTTGGGATTATAGTTATGAGCCACCTTGCCTGGACTTGTTTCTTAAATGCCTTTATCATATTGAAAATAAGCAGTCTTAAAGAAAATACATGAAACCCACAAGACCTGAGGGAAGTTATCCTTTCTAATACCTTATAAATGATATGATACCTGACAAGAAAAAAAATAAAACTCAAACTCTTTCAAGCTGTCCAAAACCTCTTTAACAAGCTGTTCAAGTCACTCATTCCTCATGAACAGAGAGATTCAACAAGCAAGAAACAAGCTCCAGTGTGTGACATATGTGTCTGCATCTATGAATACTCTGACATTGACATTGAAGCAATATGAACCATTGTTTTGTTTGTTTGTTTGTTTTTGTCTTTGGCAACGGGGCCAGAATGGGGATGGCAGAAATGGCCAAATACGAATTTATCTTGATCCATCTAAGTAGCTATTACCATATGTTTGTTGTGGGTTTTCATAGAAAAAAAACAAAAAACAAAAAACAAAACAACCTCTTATACCAATGGAGTTTGTGCAAATTGAGGAAATTTCTAAATAAACCCAGCTTGCTTCTTTTCTTATGCACATTTTTAATACACATCTGCTTGGCAGAGAAACAGCATTGGGATTAAACATAAAGGGACGTCAGAACAAAGTCCAGGCCTGTGGGATATGTCGGTCTGATAAGCAAAGTGCGGGAGGTAGATTATACTGAACCGAGACGAAAGGAAATAACTGAAGAAGAGTCACACAGAGGTTAAAACAGGACAACATCTCTGCTGAGCAGAATTTTAAAACAGGACTAAATCAGCAGCAAATGTTCAAGAGAAAAAAAAATACAAACCAAGGGAAAATTCTGACAAAGGTTGGAATTCTTCGGCACAGTCAAGGTGACAGATGGTGTCATGGAGATGGCAAATGGCAGACCGTGGTGTCTGGGTGCCCACCCCTGATGTGGTGTGACCCTCAGTGTCAGCTCCGACTGGAAGCCCCCAAGAGGTTACAAAAGGATCAGAAGCATCTCTAAGTTCAATTCAACCAATATGTTTTCAGTTTAGGGTGGCCAACTCATCCCAGTTTCTCCAGGAATCTTCTGAATTTAGGAAAAAAACAAAAAAGTCCCAGATCTGGGACACAGGCCATTCTATGATGTGGCAGGGTGGGGAAAGGTTGGCATGGGGGATCTAAGACACTTGACCTTAGCATCTCTCAAGTAGGGTAGCCAAATAAGATACAGGACACCCAGTTCAATTTGAATGTCAGCTAAAAAACTGATCATGTATTACTATGAGTATTCTTATGCAATACCTGGGACACAATTATGCTAAAAAATGATCCTTTATCCCACATATTGCATGGGACATACGATAAAAAGGGATTCATTGTTTATCTGACATTCAAATTGAACCTAGCACCTATTTGCTAAATCTGGCAACCCTAATCTCTGACCTTAACATCCCACCCATTCCCCAATGGCCTGCTTGACATTCTCACTGAAGCCTCAACCATCCTGAAGGACCAGTGAGCCACATTCTCACCAGCCACCACTCCCATCTCTGTGAAGAGCACTGCTTCCTGCTCCCCACAGGCAGCCTAGCCTGGGATCTCCCTCTTGTTGCCCTCCTGCGCACATGTTTACCATTTGTCCACCCCACTCAGAGTGGACCCTTCCATCTCTGACCTCCCACCCCTCCTCCATACTGCCACAGTTTCTAGTTCTGAAGTGCACTTTGTGTCAGAGGCTCATTACTGCTGAAAAGCCATTGATGCTCTCCTGCTCCCGGATATACAGTACAAAGTCCATACCCACCATAATATCAACATACTCCACGATATGGTCTCATCTAACTCTGCCTCTTATCTCTCCCCAGTCTGGCACCCCATATTCTGGCCATGTACAGAAAACCTTATTCTCACATGCAGGGCACTCTTTTGTATTTTTGTTCCAAGGGTATCGAATACTCTTCCCTGCTTTTCCTATTCAACTGAAAGCTATTTTCCTTGAAAAATCAGCTCAAACTTTCCCTTCCCACAAACACAATTCAACACAGCTTATTCTGGCCCTTTGCCCACTTGGCCATGTGAGCAAGCATTGCTGTGCATTACAATTACTGTCTTATTCTTTTATCTGGAGGTTGTTTCCCCTCTGTCCCAGAGGGTGGAGGCCATGTACTTTTTTTTCTACCCTCAGGACAGGGGTACCTGACACACAATTGGCATTTCATAAAGTTTTGCTGAAACTTTATCACGTGTGTAAACGTGACCAACCAGCTTACCATGGAGTAGAGGAAAAATACATGTCTATCTACTTGTATTTATCCAATATTGGTGGATTCATCCAATAATCCACCTGGCAAATGCAGATATAGCGATATATTTTCCAAATAAAAATAGGTTTTTGAAGAAAGGAGGAGACAAGCTGAAGAGAAGCTGATGGCAAGCACAGAGACAGAGATGCTGTCTCAACCAGCACTCCCCTGCAGCGATGCACCACCTCAGCTCTGTGCTGTATGGAACAGAGGAAGTGGGTGGCTTTCCATTCTTAAGATTAAAATTTGAATGGTAAATGAGGTAAGTAAATCTATAGTTCTATGCTGCCTGGTGAGCATGCAATAGATACTTAGCAATCATAAAGACAAGAAAGTTTCAAGATACGGGCTTCGGCATTCAAGAGAACAAGGTTTGGATTCATGGCTTTCCCATTTATCTGCTGGGTGACCTCAGGCAAGTTGCTTTAATTCACCTATTCCCCATTTTCTCAGAATAGTTGGGGCATAAAAACACCAAACTTCCAGGATTCTTCTGGGGGTTATGTGAAACAATGCCAAATATTCAACAAATGGCAGTGTAATTGGTGTCCTATGTGAGATCATTTTAGAAACAAAAATTGGAAAGCTTGCCGTGAAATGCAGTAGTAGTAACTAACATTTATTAACAACTTCTACTCTAGTCTCAGTGTTTTATGCACTTTCACTCATTTAACTCCTTCATCTTCCAGAGGGCACAACTGGCTCAAAGTGACATAAAGTGACTTGCCCAAAGCCGCACAGCTACAAGGCGTAGAACCAGGATTTGGTCACAGGCCATCCAACTGTGCTACCTGCTGTTTGTATAAATGCAGAGTCTATGAACAAAACTCTGTAGTTAGTTATTGGAGCCCCTGGGTATCTCTCTTAAAGAAAAGGGGGCTCAGCTGGACCATCCTCTGCGGAGGGCCTCTGCCTCCGGGATGATCCGCAGCTTCAGGGGAGCATTGAAGGGTCTGGGCTCCCTGCCCATTTCCTACTGAAGGAAGGGAAATGAAAGCGAAATTTAAAAAGGTCCAAAGAGTGTTAGATTTTTGAAAAGTTTTAGATAGCAAAACTACACGGAAGAATGGGTATGATTTAGTCATTGAACTTTCTTGGTTGAATTATAATTAAGAATATTCAATTTACATATTTATTAATTTGACACCTTACGCTTAATTTCAGTCTAGCATTATCTTGAGATTTTCCTTTGGTTCATACAGCTACAACAGCCATGCACTGACTTTATTAGGTTAACTGGTTGGTTGATGGATTCCTCCAATAACTTATCTAGTCAATATTTACCAGTGGCCTACTGGTTTCCAAGCCCATTAGAAAGACAGATAAGAAAAGTCCAGATCTGCCTTCAAAGATTTCTCAGCTAATAAAATGGTCACTCTGGTAAAATGTACTGCAAGAAGGGTAGCAGATGCTGTCAAGTCCCAAAATCCAGCAAATGTCCCAGTGGCTTGTATCTGGTAGGCAAACTGTAAATCAT